TACAGGTCTTGAAACGAAGGTGGTGGGGGGAGTTCATCTGACGACCCATAAATTATTTCGACTTGTATCCATAAGGGCGGCGCTGCGATCTACAGAAGTGGCAGACGCACGCGTATTACGATTAATCTAAATTTTAATATTGCAAACACTTGAGGAAGAAAAACATGAAATAAAATAAATATTTGAGTGAAACATTGAATAAATAATAGAAAATAGAACAGAGAAGTGATTGTATGTGTATAGAAGATCCTGTTGGGTAGCGGTCGAAGTAGTTGCAACACTTTGTTTTTTAATAAGTTTAGAAAAATAAGTTATAGTTGTAAGTTATATTTATAGCTTTTTAAAAATAAGTTTAGTTTTTTTAAGTGTTGCAACTACTCCTTACCGCGACTATACGTGTATAAAGAACCAAGGGTAAAAACATAGAACTGCATTGAAAAAAGTAAAGTATATTTTAAGTTTTGGTCCATTTAGAAATTTTTTTTTTTACGAGATTGTGTTTTGGCATTTTTAAGTTTTCTTGGTGCGCATTTTGCCTCATTCTTAACCGAATATAATACAATATAGAATATGACAAAATTTCGGATGCATGCTCCATGCAAGGAAAAGTAAACTTGTACGTAGAAAACATTTCATCCAGCGTAAGATTGAAAACATCTTTGCAAGATGCATATTTCACAAAGCATGTTTCTACGTGAGAAATCAGTTCAAAAAATCGTAAATTTGAGTGTATTAGTCCACCTTTTGATTTAATGTCGACCAATTGTGACACAGAAGATTCATGCAAAGAATCTGATCTTATAGCTTCTACGCAAGTAGTGCAAGAATTGTAAACCTTTAATACCTGCTTGCATAAATAACCTGTGAAAATTATAAACAATGTGTTAGCAAACAATAGTAGCTTCCCATTTACACCAAAACTCAGTTAATTTTCACTTATGACGTCATAAAGGTGCCATTTCATGTTGACTCTTGACGCTCATTTTCAGCGCGCAAAAAACTTCAGAAATAATATTTTTTATTTATATAGATATATAAATTTATTTATATATATATATAAATAAAAAATATTATTTTTAGGCTCACGTGGCTTCGCTTCGAAGATTTTTGCTCGCTGAAAATGAGCGTCGAGCTGATCGAGCGTCACCTTAACTCAGTTGAATGCACGTTCCTTTTGATGCTGATGGCAAGTTAGATTCAACTAAATTTTTATTCACAATCGAGACCGTGTCCTTAGACTCACATTAAAAGTGAGCTTATGAACTTGTATTGTTATGCGATAGCTTTGCCACCAAAATAAGCAGGTAAATTCCTTTTACTCACTGAACAACTGACGTCTTATCTGAGTATTCTGAATCTAAAGTACTCACATAACTGAGTGACTCAACTCACTTGAGTGTAAATGGAAAGCGCCTAATATTCTATTAATCAAAGTGCTACTAAATAAATAGAAACTTTGCATTCTACGATCTAAATGTATGAAAGTAATGCATGCATATTAAAAAAGAATTCATATAGTCAAGCTGATTGAAGAAATGGTGTCAGTATAATACAAATAAGATACCCACGTTAAGATATTAAGTAATTAAGATGTTGAAAGAAAAATAAAAGTTAGATCGAAAAACCTGTCACATAATATCTAATGCAGTCAAGGATCGGGGAGAGGGCATAATCTTCATGATCGGAATAGCCTTCGAAAATGTCATCAGCCACCCAATCGTCATGTTGTATAATTTCATCTAATTTATCTCTGATTTTACGTCGAAATTTAGCGCTTTGTGCTTCAGATTTCTGTCCGTAAGCAGCCTTCAGGTCTTTCAGGGAAATGAGAATGTGTGGTGTCGATTGATCAGTAACGGTACAATTTCCAAATTTTGGAGGTTTTATTATGCTGTACATCGATAACAGTTTGTAGAGCTGCAAGAATGTTGGGCAGTTTGGGTGATCATTACACCCTGCAGCTTGGCGAACGATACCGAAAAATTTCTGGAACGAATCGTAAAGATGCATATACTTAATATTGAACATAAGCATGATTTTTCTGTTACAAAAGTAACTGTAAATGGCAAGAATAGTAAATTAATGCCTTCCCACTTGAAGATATGCCAGTACTGAAAATCTATAGTATATGTAACGTATAAACTATAGATTTTCAGAATGCAGCCGGGAAAATATTATTAACCCCGTCTGTACCTCCAAGTTATCCTGGTTCAACTTTCCCGTTAACAGATACTGGAAATCATATTTTTCAATAAGATAACGGCACATGTCCAGTGATGATTGTAGGGTTAATCGTAATCCTTTTGAAGTCTCTTGTGTGAGATATTCATCTGGAGTTATGTCGCCTTTTTGGGCAGCTGTCTCCCACTCATTCAACCACTCCAACGAATCTTGCAATATCTGAAAATGTCGAACAAACTTAGATTAGTGACAAATCGTCACAAGCCGTATTCATATTCGAATCTTATTTCAAGACCGTTTTAAGTAATGTCTTAAGACGCTAATACGGCTCTGTGATTGGTTCATGACATCTTAAGATTGTACTTAAGACGGTATAAAATATAAGATCCGACTATAAATACCGGCTATAAAATGCTGTATTATACATATTTTATTAATGTTATTTACTTAGTTACCTTAAAGTCCTTGCTGTCTGGAGTAAGTCCTTGATTCGGGGTTTTTCGATTCAGCGCATCGAACATATCATTGATACGTTTGCAGAATCGAATTGTTTCTTCACACCCTGTGAGACAATCCTTTATATGTGATGCGTAAAAAGCTAATCCATGTGCCACAGAATTACTGAAAATCTAATCAGGTTCAACAAGAACGTTAGTCGAAGTGTTAGTCACAAAACAGTAAAAAATGGTACTAATTGGAAGAAGTTAAAAATTTTGTTTAATTTAATATCTATTATTTGCTCGTTTATTGGCCTTGACATTGTATTGTTTGAAATATACGAGCTAGTTTATTTTATTTAATTTCGAAAGACGTTAAATTACCTGGGTTGCAAGGCGAACACGCATTTTTGAGGGATTATCTAGCACAACATGCCTTTGTGTTAATTTGGGACAGACCCTGGCGTTTCCTGCGTGTTGAGTATCAAGATCGAACAAGATCTTCAAGTGACTCCAATAGACGTAGTTATCAGACGATTTTATCTACAGAAACCAAAGAAGAAACATTTTTTCACGTTATTTAATATCTGTCTCATTTTTCAATCTTTCCATTTCAGGTTTCAGTGAGGTAAGTAATAATAAAGATAATGTGTTAGGGAGAATTCACACCTTAGCAGAATAGCAGAAAGCAGAAAACCAGAAGCCAATTAGAACTCGCGCTGGTAAAAGCAGAATGTACTGCTTACTATCAGCGCGAGTTTGGATTAACTTCTGCTTTTCTGTCAAGGTGTGAATTATCCCTCATACTTTTATAAGAATTTTAAAGCATTTTTTCATGTCAATTTTTAAGCGAAAGTAAATTATTTTTTATTTATGTCATAGTTTATAAAATTACAATTAAAAGCGATAATTAGGATAATGGATAATAAGTGATGACGCTCGTATGTCTTTATATTACTTTTCTTTTTCAGGTAAGTGTCCCAGAGATGAATAACTCAGGTTCTTTACTTTTACATTATTTCAAGTGTTATTGAGGTAAGTGACAAGAGGGATAATGTCAGAATAATGGAAATATCCCGAGATGCAATGTTCTGGCATGACATTCTTAATTTTTTTTACGTTTATTTTTTCAATTGTCCTGTTTCTTGTTTTATTAATTGTAAGTGCTATTTGTGATTATGTTAAAACAATATAAAATCATAAATACGAGGAACTTACCCGTAACTTTTTCTTATTGTACCACCGATTCCGTATACATTTGATGAGGTGCGGTGTATCCGAAAAGACGAAGACTTTTCGTTCATCATCTTCGGGATGGGTGAACCAGTTCTTCGTGGCGTTCATTAAACCCGATACGCCCAAAACGGACCACATTTTCGCGTTCGTCGCCGCACCGTCGGCAATGATGCCGTGAATTTTTGCGCCAGTCATTTTAAGATACGCGATAGCTTTAATTACTATCTTCGCGAGTTCGTCACCCTTGACTGAGTTTTTTGAAGCAAACACTGCTACTGGTTGAGTGTACGTATCTGCAAGTGGCTGGAACATTAAGACAAGACCATGTGTTGCTTGGTCTTCGATGTTAATAGACTGCGGCCCGTCATCGCCGAGGTCAGTCAAACCAATATAAGTCAGGTTCTTCGAACAAACAGCCACAGACTTGCGCAAACTTATCTCGTCCAACAGAAGCACACCATGTCGCTGCAGCGAAGATTTTGTAGCAAAGTGCTTTTTGAGCAGGTTTGCAAACTCTTTATCAAAACCACACTTCATGTCGATAAGAGAAAAGTAACTACGAATTGTTCTTTTACAGGGGAGTGGCAAAACATTATTTTTGCGGAGAAAGTCGTAATACCCCGGTGATCTTATATTCATTAATGCACATAACATAATCCACTCTTCACTGTAGCGCCGATTGTTATCTCTTTTTCCTGCAGCAGATATTATTTCTCGAAGTGCGGTTTTTTGTGCGGATGGAACATCTAGTGCCGAACATTTTTGGTCCAACGTTTCGGCATGAATTGAAGCAATTTCGTTGGCCTTACTTTCTAACGATAGTTTCAATAATCGGATACGGCGCACAGCCCTATTCTTTCCGACTCTTTCACGATGGTTTTTTTTCCTCAGAGCAATCAGCTTCCTTTCATCAATTGGATTCAAAGCTTTATGTACGCGTGTGAATGTTCCATTTTTTTTAAGCCTTGCTTCTTTCTTGTGTACCAAATGCGTCATTTTTGTACAGCAATCACACCTTTTTCGTGTTGAAATCATAGTGCAATTCTTGTGACGCCATCGGTCAACATAATCTTTGACTACATCATGAACCGATAGGAGGTGAATATTGACATCACCCAGACCATTGCACATATTCATATTTTGAAACGCTTCCAAAATTTTCGGTAGCAATCTTACATCATCCAAACGTCCGTTAAGCTTATGTTTTTCAGCAGCGACAGCACGCCCGTAAACATAGTAACTAACTGTTCTGTCACTGGTAATTACTACGTTCTTTTCAGTTATCGGGACTTTCATGCCGTTTTCCAATTTCATAACTGAATATGAGAACAGAATGGTCAGTCCCTCATTATTCTTTAATTCAGCAAAACTCCACGACTTCGGAATAGTGACGAGAGACTTCTCACCCATCGCACTATTTGTTTGTGCTCCACTACTACCTACATTGACAAAAATATATGGATATTTTACATTGTACATCGTAATATACACTGCTAAATGTTTGACAGTTTTATTTTGTATTATTATCGTAAATAATAATTACTTACAAACGCTCATAGTAATTTTTGAAATAATATCAAACTCCTGGTCCGACACTTCTAATTTTTCCGGCAATTTCCGCAGTTCGGGATCCAGAAGCGGATCAACATTCGTCGCTTGCGTCAGTGAGTCTGCATCAATTTGCTCCATTGCTGAAGAATCGTCGTTTCTCATGTCTGAAACAAGATTACAATAAATTTTTACCAAAAGAAAAAACCTTGCAAATCAATTTGGTTGATCAGTGCAATATAAATCTTTTGAGCAGTTGAAAATGAAGCAATGTGTAAAGAATTGGTATGTGGAGTAATTTATTTCTATTATGATTATTTTTCATCACTGTTGTGTTCAAACAGTAGTATTTTTTTAAATATATTTTGAGTGCAAAAATTTAAGATATATGTACAGTTGTATCAAATTATAGTTACACGTTAGTGTTTAATAGAGTGTACGTACCTTGTGTACAATACGACGCCTCGATGTGTTCACCGATAGAGTCAAAAGCAGAGGACTCGCTGTCCATGTTTAAAGTATCTGCTGTGACAATGTCATCATTGACAATCCTCTGACTTAAGCAATCTTGTGGGATGTGTTCACCGATACAGTTAAAGGCAGAGGACTCGTTCTCCTTGTTTGAAGTATCTGCTGTGACAATGTCATCATTGACAATCCTCTGACTTAAGCAATCTTGTGGGATGTGTTCACCGATACAGTTAAAGGCAGAGGTCTTGTTCTCCTTGTTTGAAGTATCTGCTGTGACGATGTGATTATTGACGATCCTCTGATTTGAGCATGAATCTTGTGGTGCGTTGTCACTATCAAATATTGATGGAACAGCTGACAGGTCAAGTCGAGGGCGTTTGTATGAAACCTTACGAGCAAACAAAATGCATTAAAATAACGTAATAAAAAATTCCAACGTTATAAGTGTTTTTTAGAACGAGATAAAATAGTATATCAAATGAGTTGCTTAATAATGTAAATGACTGACAATGAGACAAATAAACTTACTTCAGCAATTATTCGACCATTGAAGTCCCGTTTAATCCATTTCCTAAGAATAAATCGTTCTTCAAAATGTTTTTCGCACACAAACTGCGTTGGCTTTAGCTGAGCAATGCCCGGAATTGCAGCTAGCCATTCTTTTAAT